GAGTCTGCTTCTCCCTCCCTCTTTGTGCCTCCCCCTCACTCATGCTCTCTCTCTCTCTCTCTCAAATAAATAAATAAATAAAATCTTTAAAAAAATTTTTTAAATAAAAAAAGGGATAGAGAGAGAGTTCTTTAAGGGAATTAAAAGTCTCTGAGTCACTGTTTAACCCAGGGAGAGAGATGGAAAGATCTTCAAGTCTATGAGAGGAAGTGTAGGCAGTAGAGGCCAAGAGTCATTTTCCCTGTCCCCTGACTTTAGGACATACAAGATTTTTGTCACTAGAGGGTGGGGGTGAGCCATAATGATTATGAAACCAGCCCATACCATTAAGGAACATGCCAACCTGCATAGAGTGGAGGGTGAACAAATTAACATCCTCACCCTCACCTTCACCCCACCTGCCTGAAGTACATGGCACATAGAGTTTTTTTAAATTAAATATTGGAGGAGTGACTCAGTTCAATGAGTTGACTTGCCCTATAATGTCATTTTATGCTAACCAATTGGATTTTGAAGAATGTCTCCCAAAGGCAATGGATTTTTGTTTTTATGTTGAGTGTTGAGTCATTATTCCTAGCTGCGGGTAGGCTCAATTTTCTTTTCAGGCTACTCCCTATGGCTGATAATAAAACCATTATGGGAACAGGGCAGGCATCCAGAGTCTAGGACTTGTTGGAGGCTCTGGGAGGGAAAAGGAGAAGTGGAGTGAGATGAGGGAGCAGGCAGGGACAGATAAACTTTGAGGTTCTGACTTACTTCCCCCTTTTGAATTGTAAATATTATTTGGGGCAGGGGGAGGAATAGATATATAATATCTATATTTGTGTTCAATTCCTTGTTTCTTTTTTCTACTGTTTTCTTCCAGTCTTGGTCCATATTCATGTTGGCTTCTCAGAGCTATAATGTAATACTCTTTTGGTTTGTGTTTTTAATCTTAGCATTATATAACATTTTTAATGATGTTATTTATTCCTTATGAGTAACTTTTTAAAAGACTCAGCTCTCCTTTTTTTCCTGACTGTAAATGTAAAGCATATTCATTAGTTTTAGAAATGCAGACAATATGCAAAAAAGGTGAAAAATCGCCCTTTATATATTTTTTTAAAGATTTATTTATTTGACAGAGAGAGACACAGCGAGAGAGGAAACATAAGCAGGGGGAGCGGGAGAGGGAGAGGGAGAAGCAGGCTTCCCGCCGAGCAGAGAGCCCGATGTGGGGCTTGATCCCAGGACCCTGGGATCATGACCTGAGCCGAAGGCAGACGCTTAGCGACTGAGCTACTCAGGCGCCCCTCACCCTTTATATTTTGAAGTGTATCCTTCAAGACTTTTTTCTATGCATATATAAATCCATACTTTCAAAAATGGAATCATACCACACATGCTGTTTTAGTTCTTGTTTTCCACCTCATTAAATATAAAGTAGTAATTTTAAAAATTTTTAATTAGTATTATGTAGATACAGAGTAATATTTGAATAATAGTATTTCAGTAGTAAAATATTTAAAAAAAATTTTTTAAGATTTTGTTTATTTATTTGACAGAGAGAGACACAGCGAGAGAGGGAACACAAGCAGGGAGAGTGGGAGAGGGAGAAGCAGGCTTCCCGCTGGTCAGGGAGCCCGATGCGGGGCTCGATCCCAGGACCCCGGGATCATGACCTGAGCCGAAGGCAGACGCTCAACCGACTGAGCCACCCAGGCGCCCCTAATTAATTTTATTTACTATTTAATAGAGTAGTATTTTTAAGTATTGGTGTTCCACAGTTTATTTACCCTTTCCTACTGATGACACTTCAATTGTTTCCAAATTGTCACCATTGTAACAGTCCTTATGCACACATCATCTTTCCTTAGGACCAACTCCTAGAAGTAGAATTTGTGGGCCAAAGGGAATGTGCATTTAACATTCTGCATTGTTCCCAGGAGAAGTGTATGAGAGAGCCCCCTTTCCCTTACTCTTGCCAATACAATTTCCTTCTTAATAGCCGCAAAGTAGTCCTGGATTAATGCTCAAACACACCAGGCTTTCCAGTTTGGATGGGAGCCACATTCCCCTAGGCATGTCCTCAGCCACAGTGTCCCTGTCGTGTGCGGGTACCGCCGCCAGATGGCGAGAGGGAGGCCTGGCACGACTTCGCGGGGCGGGGCGGGGCGAGGCGGGGCTCCCAGCCCGGCTCCGTTGGCCACGGTGGTCGGACCGGGTGCCGGCGAGGGCAAGGGAGGAAGTGGGAAGTATGGACTGGGGGCTGCAGCGGTGGGGGGGGGGGTCCCCGGGCCTAGAGGACACGAGGGCAAGGGCCAGGACGTGGAGCTCAGCGTCCCGGGAAGAAGATACACGTTGAGTAAGCGGAGGCTGCACCGGTCCCATCAGCGCCGAACCCTGCCATGCGCCGCTGGAGGTCGGAGCGGGCGCCGGGCCGAGTCAGGGGCGAGGTCGCCGCTGGGACCCCGCACCTCCGAGCGCTTCCGGGCCGAGCCGGCCAGGCAGGCGCCGGGACTCCGGCAGCAGCAATGCCTCTCGCGGCCTCGGATCCCCGGAGGGCGGCGCGGGTGGGAAAGGCTAGAGCGGTCCGGATCCGACCGAAAGCCCCGCGCCCCACTTAGTGGCCGCGGACCTAAGGCAAGTCACCGGACCTCTCTGCGTCTCGGCTCCTCTTCTGTGAAATGGGGTCACTGCGGTACCCACCTCAGAGAAGACTGTTGCGAGGCTCAATTGAGATAATATTACATGGTAGCTTGTATTTTTTGCACCCTCCCTAAGAACGCTTAACCATCGCCCAACACAACTGGCTTATTGGCTTCCCGGAGGCTACGGAGGAACAGAAGAGGAGATCCGTCTCAGGAGAGGCTTGCTGTATGCCATTCTCTCCGGGCACCCTCTAGACCTTTGTCCCCAAGCCAGAAAGAAACGTTATAACCCATGGCCCTCATCACGGGGAGCCCAAGGCATAACCGAGGAGTCATCAGCGATACACACGCAGGAAAGTGACTCCAAAGCTCTTAGCCGGGGTCACAATCACCGGCATCTGACGGTTCTCCTGGGAAAAGGGGTTACAGCCCCACCTGGCCGGCGCTGAGCTCTGACAAAGTCCTGGGTCTACTCGGCACATCTTGCTCGCTTCCCGAGTTCTGTTCCCTGTTGAAGGAGGTGGCTGGTGGCCACCCCCAAGAACGAGGGCATGGGAGGGGGAGGGGAGCTAGGCTCTGTGTTGGCGGTTGCCATGGTTTTGCTCCGAGTTCTGGAGTCAACCTGCCCACTCCCTGAGACACTCAGGTCACAGAAGCAGTAGGTCAGAAGCCTGAGGGGACATAACGAGGGCCACTCTGGAGGCCGCCAGTGCACCTGTTGAGATGGAGGCCTCCGATGGGCAAGGGGCTGAAGGGGACAAGCCACTAAACGAGGTGAAATGGGGCTAGGGAGGCAAGGGAGGGAAGAACGGAGGGTCCTTGAAGGGCTGGTCTTGGAAAGCAGAGAACATGCGATTCAGGAAAGAAAAGAAGAAGGAAAAATGGTGATGTACATGAGCTAGCAGGAGACGGAAAGAGCAAGAGAAGGTTAATTCATTCAAAGACATACATTCCTGGCAAGACGATGGTTGGTTGTGGAGACAAGCGCTCATCTGTGTATGTGCGTGTGTGTGCACACTTGAGTTATGGTCTGTGTGCTTGGTTGTGTGGTGGTACTGTTGTGTTTATGGAGCCGATCCGCCAGAGTCCCCTCACTCTGGGGCCTGGAGGAGCCTCGGTTCCATACTCTCTCCGTTTCCCTTCCACCCTCTCCCTGGTCTCCGCCTTCAGAGTGGTCTGGGCCTGGGTCTTTCTGAACACAGGCAGGAATTAATGCTCACTTTTCCCAGAGGCTTTTGCAAAGTCAGGTGCAAATCCTACTGTGTCAATCTAATCCTGTGCTCTGACTTCAAGTATTATTTCATAGTCACTTTGTCTTCGTTAATTTTCAGTTTTGTTTTGTTTTTGTTTTTGGCCCCACGTTTGCTGTCAGAGAGCCTCTTCTCATTACCATCACTGTCACATGCTTTTCGGAGTGCTCATTATTGTGGCTTGATGCTGAGGGTTGGAGGTGGGCCTGGGACTTAGGCACTCAATAAATGTTTGCTGAATGAATGAGTGAATGACTCCCTGCTCATTCCCCCAAGGAGTCCCTTAAATCGCTTGGTGCCTCAAAGTGTTCTCATCCGTAATCAGGGATAATGATACCTCACCTTACAGAATTTGTGGGAGAATAAAATGAGTTCATGTTTATCAAGTGCTTTGCAAAATTAGCTACAATACTGTGCTCTAATGATTATAAGAGAAATGGGCAGGGCATTCTAGGTTTTCTAAGCAGGGATCTTCAGGGATGGGTTTCTTTGCTGAGGGCTTACTCGCCTCAGGGCTGGGCCAAGGAAGATGTCCTAGGGAAAACGGAGAAGGGCTTTGGTTGGAGTTTGGACCACTGGTTGCCTCGAATTGCCCCTCAGGAGCTCCCCAGCTGACCGCGGCACCCTGCCTCCTCCCAGGTGACAGGTGTACCCTGCTTGGAGAAGGGTTCCGGCACCATGCCCACCAGAGACTCACTTGTACGCCATGCCAAGGGCCTGGGCCAGGACACCTTCAAAATTGTGAGTAAGGGACCCTGTCCCTCCTCCAGGCCAGGAGACCTGGGTCAGAAATTGGCAGGCCTCACTGTCCCACTTGTCATGTCAAGTAAGACCTTGACGAGAGCCTCCTTACTTAACCCACTTAACACTTCCTGGCCCATAAGGGCTACTGGTTACTTGGGGCTACCCATCTGCCTCTTCTTTTCTCCTATGGTCGCTCAATTCACCTGTTGCCTCTTCAGTGTAAAGAATATCTAAGGCCACTGAAGAAGTTCCTGCGAAAGTTGCACCTGCCCAGGGACCTTCCCCAGAAGAAGAAGCTGAAGTACATGAAGCAGAGCCTGGTGGTCCTAGGGGACCACATCAACACCTTTCTGCAGCACTACTGCCGAACCTGGGAAATCAAGCACTGGAGGAAGTAGGGCAGCCTTCTTGCCCTTCCCACTATACCCACTCCTGGGCCCCGCCACCCCCCCATTCAAGGACACACCTCCGTCAAGATTCCTGAGTCCTTCACCTTTATGTGAAAGAGTGAGGATCCTGGAGTGAGCATGGTGAAGGAGGGGTGGAGAGAACAGGGGCCTCTAGTTATTCAGGGCAGCACTGATTCATGGCAGCTTGCACACGCAGTGGACAAAGAACTCTCCTGACCCTGTGGAGAATGACCTCTGATTGAACAACTGCTGTGTGGTGTGGGTGTCCATCACCAGGATGACACAAGGATGGGGTACTCAAGGTTTAGCAAATGCCCACCTCTCCACGTCCCTGACCAAATCCAAGGAGGCAGGATGTGGTCCATTTCTCCCTGAGTGGGTCATGGACACAAGACAGATGCTGAAGGGAGAGGGGCTGTGCTCTGCCTCCCTCAGCCTTGGTTTCTCCCCTGCAGGATGCTCTGGCGATTTGTTTCTCTCTTCTCGGAATTAGAGGCGAGACAGCTTCGCAGGCTTTACAAGTACACCAAGAGCAACCAGACGGCCAAGTTCCTGGTGAGGTGCTCAGGAAAGCTCCTCCCGGGCCCAGCTGAGGGTTGGCTGGTGTGTTCTTGGATTGTGGTGGGGGGAGGCCTGAGGCTGAGGGGGCCCTCTGATACCGCCAGGATCCCTCGACTTGTTTCCACACTCACTGCCTCAGGGAGACCCCACTGCTCCTACCTTTACCCCCGACAGGGGGCAAAGTGGGGCTGAAGAGGGCAGAGGCTCAGCTTCAAGTTCTTGGTATTTCTTCACTCTCCACACCCACACCCCAATGTTAACAGGTGCAGGGACATTCCTGAGAGGCTATGAGTGGGGATGGTGGAAGCCACGCAGAGAGGCACAGCCAGCTTGGGGAAGGAGGACTATCAGACAGAGCCTGGCCTGGCTTTGTTCAAAAACAGTGACTCTCAAACATTTTGGACTCAAGTCATGTTCACCCTCTTAAAAAGCTATTGAGAAGCCCCAAAAGCATTTGTTTATGTAGGTTATAGCTATTGATATTTGCCCTATTAGAAATTAAAACTAGGGGTGCCCGGGTGGCTCAGCCGTTAAGCGTCTGCCTTCGGCTCAGGTCATGGTCCCAGGGTCCTGGGATCAAGCCCTGCATCGGGCTCCCTGCTCAGCGGGAAGCCTGCTTCTCCCTCTCCCACTCCGCCTGCTTGTGTTCCCTCTCTTGCTGTCTCTCTCTCTCTCTGTCAAATAAATAAATAAAATCTTGAAAATTAAAACTAAAGAAAAAATTCAAAATATGTACTCACTAATCCATTTAAAAATAAAAACAAGGAGCCCATTACATTTTAACATAAATAATTTTTACAAGGAATAGCTATATTTTTCAAAACAAAAAAATGTAGTGAGAAGAGTAGCATTGTTTGACATTTTCGCAAATCTCTTTAGTGTCTGGCTTAATGGAAAAGAGCTGCTTTTGCAGTGTCTTATGATATGTGACTTGGTTAAAGTACGTGAAGAAAACCCAGCCTGTACAGATGTATAGTTAGAGAAAAGAGTATTTTACTAGCATTTTCAGATAGTCATGGATATTTTTCTTTGACACCACACCAAAACCCAACAAGTGGCAGCTACTTATTAGTAATGTGGAATCTGAAACCATATCAATGAATGTCTATATATATATATAGTTTTAGGTTTACAGAAACTTTGTGTGGAAAGTGCAGAGATTTCCCGTATACTAACCCCTCCTGTTTCCCTCGTTATTAGCATTTTGCATTAGAGAGGTACATTTATTACCATCACTAAGCCAGTATTGACACATTATTTATGACACATTATTAACTAAATAATGTCCATACTTTATATTAGGGCCCACTCTTTGTGTTGTACATGCTAGGTGTTTTTTTTTAAGATTTTATTTATTTATTTGAGAGAGAGAGAGACAGAGATAGGGAGAGAGAGCACGAGCGGGGAGGAGAGGGAGAAGCCCTCTGCCAAGCAGGGAGCCCGATGCGGGGCTCCATCCCAGGACCCTGGGATCATGACCTGAGCCACCCTATAGGTTTTGACAAATGCATACTGACATGTATCCACCGTTCCAGTATCGTACAGAATAGTTTCACTGCCGTAAAAACCCTGTGCTCCACATATTCATCCCTCCATCCTTTCCCTCCAAACTCCTGGCAACCACTGATCTTTTTACTGTCTCAGTATTTCCAGAATGTCATCAGTTGGAATCATACAGTATGTAGCTTTCTCAGATTTGTATCAATGACCTTTTCACACTAGGTTCATTAGAATCCATTGGTTTCTCTCTTGCACTTTGAGTAGACCTCACTTTTCAGGGGGTCAGCGGGGTCAAAATATTTCAGGGGTCCCCAAGAGTTCACAGAGCACCCTTTGGGAATCACTGGTTCAAAATAAGAATCATAGGTAACAGTTTCTATGTGCCAGGCCCTTTATGTTCCCTCCTATAATCTTCAAAAGTAACCCTACATGGTAATTACAATTACTGTCCACAGTGTGTAAATGAAGATGCCAGATGCAGAGAGGTAAAGTAACATGACCCAGACCACATAGCCAGTGGGGGGAAGAGCCGGGTTCAAACGTAATCTGGCTCAGGGGAAAGCCTTGCTCTAACTATGGCACCCCACCCCACTCTAGCTACGCAGCTTTAACCCAACCCCTTCCCCCTTGGGTCTCTGTTTCTTCCTCTGAACATGAATGGGTAGATCATTTCAGGGAATCCTCCTCTGAATATGAGGTGTTGTCATTTTAGTGATTCCTGGATTTCACTGGCCAGGAAAATTTCAAAAGATATTTCTAGGCTCTCAATTTTAATTTTGCCAAGGACTTTAAAACAAATGCCACTGTTTCATTACAGACAAATGCATAAGGCACTAATAACTCTAGGCCAACAGACACATGAGAAGATGCCCAACATCACTCATCATCAGGGAAATAGGAATCAAAACTACAATGAGATGCCACCTCACACCTGTCAGAATGGCTAAAATCAACAATACAGGAAACAACAGGTGTTGGTGAGGATGCAGAGAAAAAGGAACCCTCCTAACACTTTCTGCAGCCACTGTGGAAAACAGTATGGGGGTTCCTCCAAAAGTTAAACATAGAACTACCTTATGACTCAGCAATTGCACGACTAGGTATTTACCCAAAGGATACAAAAATACTGATTTGAAGGGGCACGTGCATCCCGATGTTTATAGCAGCATTATCAACAATAGCCAAATTATGGAAAGAGCTCAAACGTCCATTGACTGATGAATGGATAAAGATGAGATATATATATATATATATATATCATCCATCAAAAAGAATGAAATCTTGCCATTTGCAGTGACGTGGATGGAGTTAGAGTGTATTATGCTGAGCGAAATAAGTCAGAGAAAGACAAATACCACATGCTTTCACTCATGTGAATTTAAGAAACAAAACAGATGAACATAGGAGAAGGGGAAAAAAGAGAGAGGGAAGCAAATCATAAGAGACTCTTAACTATGGAGAACTCTTAACTATAGAGCCAGAGAGAACTATAGCAACTGAGGGTTGCTGGAGGGAGGTGGGCGGGGGGTGGGCCAGCTGGGTGATGGGGAGTAAGGAGGGCACTTGTTGTGAGGAGCACTGGGTGTTGTATGGAAGTGACGAATCACTAAATTCTACTCCGGAAACCAATATTACACTATGTTAACTAGAATTTAAATAAAAACTCGAAGCAAATTAAAAAAGACACTATATATAACTCTAAAAAGAGATGGAGGACATGTATCCAAGTAAAGAAGCACCCAAGAAGAGACGGTTGGCAGCCCGGTCTCAGTGTCCCCACGGTCCTTCCTCTCCCCCATCTGTGACTCGTGCCTCCTGCTGGCTAGGCAGGGGGGTGAGTTGCAGCGAGACCGCAGTCATTTCCTCACGGGGGCAGGGCTGGGGCTCTGGAACGTGGGGCCCTCTCTTCTCCACGCTCTCCTCAACATTATGGGCCCATCGCAGGTGGCGTTCTGCCCCTTGGACGCCCCGGAGAGCTCCTTGCTGGCTGGCCGGGAAGACAGTCTGCCCAAGCTGTGCAGTGCGTGGGGGCTGCAGAACAACATCAGTTGCATGAAGGAGAGGCTGTCCAAGATGCAGGCGCCTGGCCGAGAGGCCTCCCTGCTGGTGGAGCCAGCACCCCGGGGCCCGGGCGGGAAAGGTAATGCCCTTAGGTGGGGGGCAGCGACAGCCTCCCTTCCCATCTTCCCTTTAACCCCACACTTCTCTCTCGGTCCATGTTTCCTTCCCCTTCTGCACTTTCTTCTTTTCTCTTTTTTGTCCCCCTCTCTGCAGGGCCACTTATAGAAAGTTTGAAATGTATAGATAAGTGTAAAACAGGAGAGAGGAAAATCACCCATCCCCCAAGGCCATGACCAGTAAAGGGTTTGGTGTGTCTCCCCTGAGCGTTCTGCATGATTTCCCTCCGGAGGTCTCATGATGCACACAGTTTGGGATCCTGCGTTTTTCAATGAACAGTTTAAACGAAGCCACTTGCCCATAGGAGTAGAAGCAGAGACCGTCTCTAGCAGTCAGGAGTGGGGACTCCCAGGAGGTGTCCAAGCAGAGGCGGGAAGCCTGCTCTGGGCGTGGGACTAAGGAAGTGGTTCATTCCCACAGTGGGGGGAAAGTCGAGTCAGATGGCCTGGGATGGGCCTTCCCAGCAGCCTTGGTCTCTGCCACGACTGCACTGCTTGGCCCTCTGGACAGAGACTCTTCAGTGAGGGGTCCCAGCCAAGGTTGGAAGCTATGAAGGCCCCTCCTGTGCACTGAGGTACAAAGAGATGTTGGAGCCACTTACCCCTCTCCCTTCTGGATCCGGCTTCTGGGACCACAGTTAGCTGTTCTTGCTTCGCTACTGGGGGAGCAAGTGAAGGCGAACAGAGTGGCCTAGGATCTCCACGTGTGGTCCTAAATTGGCCCCAGGTGTTCCTCTGAGGGTCAGGCCGGCTGGGACTGATGCAGGCCCCCGGCGCTCGGGGCCTCGTCCACCAGTCACAGCTGCCCCGAGTGGAGAGCAGGAGGGAGAATGGGGCAGGGGCAGTGGGCGTGAGTCGGGCAATTACTGAGGCCCAGAGCCCTGTCTGGGCTCTGTGATGGCCCTTGGCCCTGGTGCCTATAGTTTAAATTGAGGAAGCCAAATATCCAATGGAATGAAGGCCAGCCCATCATGAAGATGATTTAGGCCACGCAGTTCATGAATCAGATAAGGAAAGTGGGCTCTGGGCTTTGGGGCCAGCCTCTTCCATACCAGGGGATTGGTATCTTTATTTCACCTAACCCTAACCCCTGCGGCATCCTCAGATGGGTATTATCACCCCCCTTTTACAAATGAGCCATCTGAGGCCATAGGGCAAAGGGTAGGACAGGCTGGCTGGAGGAGGTAATTCTGGGACAGGCTTTAAAGAAAGGGAAGAGGAGGAGGGGAAGTGGGGTAAGGGAGGGAAAGAGAGGAAGGAAAGGTGTGTGCAGAGGTGAAGGGCAATTAGCAGACAGTCTGGGCCTGGAGGTGAATGGAAGAGCAGGTTGGAGAAGTGCAGGACGAGGGGTAATAGGAAAAAGCCTTGGATGGTGGATCAAGAACATTGGCTTTTATGTAATTCTTAAAATAACATTTTATTCCTACAAACATAAGTGTAGCATAGAAAATAAGGTGATACCGATAAGCAAAAATAAGAAAATATAAACATCACATTGTCCTCCCTACTGCTAGCACTTTCCAGATGTTTTTTATACATATCAATACATGTATTTTAGCCAAATGAGATCTCACTGCGTATAGGATTTTGATTGGAACTTGCTTTTTTCAGTTAATTAGGTCAGCATTCCATGCCAACGTTTTCGTTTCATCTAATTGTTGGATTAAGTACTTCTTATTCAAATTTTCCCAGTAGTCCAAGACCTTTCTTGCACTGATTTCCCACTCATGCATCATTGCACCTGGTCATGTCTCTTCCATCTCTTTGAACCCAATAAAATCCCCTTTTTCACATCCTGACTTGTTGAAGATATCAGGCCATTGTTCTGCAGAATGTCCCACTTTTGACACTTGTTGCTTCCTTTTGGCATTTTTTAAAGCTTGTTCCTCTGTGCATAGACAGGACTTCAGATCAAAAGTCCTGATGAAGTCCTGTTAAATATTTGTTTGCCTGGGCTACAGACAAGGTTGTGTTCTTCACCTTGTGTTATATGACAAAGCACATGCTGTCTGCTGGACCCACCATGAACGGGCTCTGGTCAATCACTGAGTCCATCTGTGATATTAAAGGTAACCCACCTGGTGTTTCTTTGGCACCATGTTCATAAGTCAGTTTTTAAGTAAAAAGATGGCAGGGGGTTGGCAAACCATCCGGCAGCCAAGTTCTGGGAGCCAGGGCCTGAAATCTGGGATGGGTGTGGGGAGGGCTCAGAGTCAAGAAATGTGGTCTAGTCCTGACTCTGCCCCTCTCTTGCCTAAGGCTTTGGGCAGGGTGGGCTCTGCGCTTGGGTGAGATCCTTCATCTGTAAATCGGGGTGATACAGTCTTCCTCCACCACAGAGTTTCTGTGAGAAAAGAGGAAGGGACAGAGGTTGCAAGTGAAGATAAGATTTTGTCGTTCTTCCTTTCTGTCCCTACTACGCCCCCCTGACACGTTACAGGCTGAGATTCTCTTACTGCTCATGTTATCAGGACTGTGTCACTTTCCCTTTCAGGTTCTCTAAGGAAACTTCCTCACAAAACAAAACTCAAGAGAAAGAGGATTAAGGAAGCCCCAGAGACTCCAGGGACCTGCGCGTAAGAAGAGGCAGGCGGGAGGGGCGGGGGCAGCTTGTCCTGGCTCCCAGAGCACTTGTCTTCAACACCTCTGCACCCTGGGGGCTGGGGGGCCAATGAGGGGAAAGAAGAAAACTGTCTTTGTCAAAAGGATGCTCAGGTCTTAGTTATGTATAAATGGGGTGGGAAAATAAACATCCTTAAGACAGTTCTACCTTACTTGGCTAACAGTCATCATTCATTCATTTTGTAATTTATTAAAAAAATATTTGCCAGCTACCTTCTGAGCGGCAGGTGGCCCACAAGAGCACAGACAAATAAGATGCGGTCACTTGCGTCCATGGCCGTCCATCGCCATCTAGAGCAGGAGACATACGTGGAGAGACGTTACAAAGGGTTGAATAGAGGTGCTCGGGAGGCCTTGGCCGGTAACAAAGGAGTGATGTATGCCCAGGGAGAGCGCGGTGCGGGGGAGGGGAGCGGGCCTGGAGTCAGAGAGGGAGAAGTCTGGCAGCCTGCCTCAATTGTCTGCACTCGGTCTCCTGGGTAACCTGGGGGGACCACAACAAGGGAGCCGTCAAGCAGTGGGAATGAACTGGTGTGACCTGGCGCCTGGGGAGATGCTCTGCAGGCCGCAAGCAAGGTGCATGGAAGTGAGAGACGGGAGAGGCCTGAGATGGTAGAAGAAGCCGCATCAGCAGTCGTAGCTAGGATGATGGTTCAAACCGGTGGTCAAAAATCGGCCGCTGCCTGCGAAACTCGGACCACTGGTGTGTTGTTTGCCCCTTGTGGTGTTCTACTTATTGTTTAAAACATTAAAAAAAAAAAATCAGTTGCCAGTATTAACTTGGTACATTTCACATTAAAAACAACAAACAGCAACAGATTTCTGGCTTTTAACAACTTGTCACACGTGGGTGTGCCTCCCCACAGAAGGGCACGTGGCTCAGGTTTCACGGATACTCTTTCCGGTTCCCCACAGTCCCCACCCTTCCCTCTTGCCTCACACACTGGCCTTCTTCCCTTTGACTCGTTTCGCTTTTCATACTTGCTACCCTGGGGATATACAAAGGCAGTGAAGATGTGCATGAAGGGGGGTGGGGTGAATTTGTGACATTAGGTAGGATAAAACGGACAGTTTTGGTGACAGATGTGAGAGATAAAAGAGGGAGGAGAAGGTAGTGAAGATGGTACTTTGTTTCTAGCTAGAAAGGCCGTGTAGCTGGTGGTCAACTCCAGGAGGGGAAGCAGGTGCAATCGTTTTCCAAAAGCACAGGAGGCAGCAACATACGAGGTGCCCGTATGCGTGTGACCCTTGCTCCTCCCCTCCTTCAATTCATATTCCGGAGTGAGCATCATGACAATGTTTAAGTGTCAAAATGAATATCAATCTAGACTTGAAGAACAAGTACACGGAAGCGTAAAGAGGGAAAGAAGACCCTGGCTCTCTCTTTGTTGTTCACATTCTTTGCTCCCCGGAAGTGGCGAGATGAGGGTACGGGCTTGGGGGTGGGCCTCGCTCCAGGGGCCCCCGGCAGTCCTGACAAAGCAGGGAGGATTTGCCAGAGAAGGGCGAGCAGGCTGGAGGATGTCCCTGATGATGGAGGGCCTCTCCAATCTTCTCCACTCCTGAGCAATTTCACCGACAGGGTCCCAGGGAAAGGGCTGGCCATTCTGGGAACACACCAGAACAGGGAGGTGTCCCTGTGTGTGAGGCAGCACCACCTAGAGGAATGACGGGGTTCTACAGCCTCATTCTTCCCACCGAGGCAGGGCGCGCGCAGAGGCGGAGACCGCGGCGGGGAGGCCTGGGAACTTTATACCCGCCCTCGGACCAGCAGGAGGCGGGAAGGCAAAATAGGCAACAGTCTTGGTTCTGCAGCCCTCTTAACTCTTTCCTCAAATTTAGTAGGATCTCAGAATTCCAAAAAAGATCACAGGACATTGCTTCACCCAAAGCCCTCCAACAGCACAAAGGATTTTTAGGGCAGTGAAAATACTCAGTGTGATACTAGAATGGTGGATATGTGTCATTATACACGTGTCCAAATCCATAAAATGTGCAACAACAAGAGTGAGCCCCACTGGAAACTATGGACTCTGGGTGATGATGTGTCCTTGTAACAGGTGTATCACTCTGGTGCGGTGGGGGTGAATAATGAGGCTGTGCATGTGTGGGGATGGTGGTGTATGGAAAATCTCTGAATCTTCTGCTCAAATTTGCTATGAACCTAAAACTGCCCTAAAAAAATAAAATATTAAGGGGCGCCTGGGTGGCTCAGTTGGCTAAGCGTCCGACTCTTCGTTTTGGCTCAGGTCGTGATCTCAGGGGTGTGGGATTGAGCCCTGCGTGGGGCTCTGCACTCAGTGCAGAGTCCGCTTGATATTCTTTCCCTCACCCTCTACCCTATGTATTTATTATACATAAATAATAAAAATAAAATATTAAAACAAAGAAATAAAACCCCCCGACAGTTCTTCATCTCATATAGATTAAAAGCCAAAGATTTTGCAAGGGCCTACAAGGCCTACTATGATCTATCCCCACTGTCCATTCTGTTACCTGTCTGACCTCATTCTTGCTTTTCTCATACTTGTCAAGCACACTCCTGCCTCAGGGCCTTTTCACTGGCTGTTTCCTCTGTCTGGAATGTTCTTTCCCAAGATACCCAGTTGGCTATTGCCTTCAAATCTCTGTTCAAATGTCACCTTCTGCCTGGGGGGCTCAGTTGGTTAATGTATCTGCCTTTAGCTCAGGTCATGATCTCCAGGTCCTGGGATGGAGCCCCACATCTGGCTTCCTGCTCAGCGGGGAGTCTGCTTCTCCCTCTCCCGCTCCCCCCTCTTGTGCTCTCTCTCTCTCTCAAAAAAATAAAATCTCAAAAAAAAAAAATTAAAAAATAAAGGAAAAGCTCTCAGTTTTTCACCATTGAGTATGATGTTGGCTATGGGTGTTTCATAAGTGGCCTTTATTATGTTGAGATATGTTCCCTCTAGACCTACTTCACAGAGGGTTTTCTTTAATCATGAATGGATGCTGTTAAAAAAAAAATCATGAATGGATGCTGTACTTTATCGGATGTTTTTCTACATCTACTGAAATAATCATATGGTTTTTATCCTTTCTCTTATTGATGTGGTATATCATGGTGATTGTTTTGCAAATATTAAGCCACCCTTGCATCCTGGGAATAAATCCCACTTGATCGTGGTGATTGATTTTTTAAATATATTGTTGGATTCAGTTTGCTAATATATTTTTTAAATATTTTATTTATTTATTCGTAAGAGACAGAGAGAGAGAGAGAGGCAGACTCCCCACTGAGTGGGGAGCCCGATGCGGGACTCAATCCCAGAACCCTGGGATCATGACCTGAGCCGAAGGCAGACACTTAACAACTGAGCCACCCAGGCACCCTCAGTTTGCTAATATTTTGTTGAGGATTTTTGCACCTACATATATGAGAGATATTGGCTTGTAGTCCTCTTCTTTTGTGTGTCTTTATCTGGTTGGTTATCAGGGTGATACTGGCCTCATAGAATGGATTTGGAAGTTTTCCTTCCTCTTGTATTTTTTGGAATAGTTTGAGAAGAAGGGGTATTACCTATTCTTTAAATGTTTGGTAGAATTCGCCTGTGAAGCCGTCTGGTCCTGGACTTTTGTTTTTTGGGAGTTTTTTGATTACTGATTCAATTTTATTGCTGGTGATTGGTCTGTTCAAGTTTTCTATTTCTTCCTGCTTTACTTTTGGTAGGTTATAAATTTTTAGGAATTTATCCATTTCTTCTAAGTTGTCTAATCTGTTGGCATATAGGTTTTCATAATATTCTGTTACAATTGTTTGTATTTCTGTGGTGTTGGCTGTTATCTCTTCTCTTCCATTAGTAATTTTTATTCCAAATAAAATTACTTTTTTTTAATGAGTCTGGCTAGAGGTTTATCCATTTTGTTGATCTTTCCGAAGAATCAGCTTCCAGTTTCACTGATCTGTTCTATTGTGGGTTTTTTTTTTTTTAAGTTTCTATATCATTTATTTCTGCTCTAATCTTTATTATTTCCTTCCTTTTGCAGGGCTTGAGTTTTGTTTGCTGTTCTTTTTCTAGCTCCTTTAGGTATAAGTTTAGGTTGTTTGAGATTTTTCTTCCTTCTTGAGGTAGTCCTGTATTGCTATAAACTTCCCTTTTAGAATCACTTTTGTTGCTTCCCGAAGATTTTGGACTGTTCTGTTTTCATTTTCATTTGTTTTCATGTAATTTTTGATTTCTTAAGATTGCAAGTATTTAAAAAAAGACTTTTTGGTATTTCCCATATATAGTTAATATACATCACCTGTATGAGATAGAAAAAAAAGTGTTTGGTTTTCCAATGTCAGTTTATCAATCCCATTCCACCTCATGGGGCTCCCTCCCCTCCCCTCACTTTTGCTCAGTGGGAGGGTTAGTATGGCTAGAAAAAGGGTCTCATAGTCTCCTCTTTGGATTTTCCCTAAAGTTTGTGTGAACTCATTTAACATTTCCCTCCCCAACCCCCTACCCCTTGTGGTACAGCTTCTCCTGGTGCAGGAGAGTAGTGTCCTAAATTCTCAAGTTGGCCCTGCGAGTCTGCAGCCAGAGAGCCTGGTAACATCTGTGGCTTTGAGATGACCAGAGGCAAGGGCACAGCTGTGCGGGTCACGTTGCATTTTTTGCTAGATGTAGGATTCTGGTCCAGCTCCAGTCTGTGTTCTAAACCATACTAGAGATGTCTCTAGGATACGATAAACCCTCCATCAGGGAGACGTTAAGAAACAGATATGGGATGTCCGTAGCGGCAGAGATCTTTGAGGACCCAGGGCAATCTTAGGCTTGAGTGAGTCTGTCCACACTACCATTCTGTCCTGGGTTGTGCTAGTGAACATCTGAGCATCCTGGAAATGTTGGTAGGCTTCGATAGACTCCCTCCTCCAGCTTCTCTCTTCTCAGACTCCTCCCTTTCTCACCTGTAGTTACTTCTCTGTCATTGGAACCAACCTTCAGAAGGATGCA